GCATGACAGATACACATCTCCCCTCCAAGTGAACTTGGAACGTCTGGCATGCCAAACAGACTGCCTTCAGCTCTCTGACACTGATGGGTAGCCGTGTTAGTCTGGATCTGTAAAAAGCAACAAAGAGTCCTGTGGAACCTTAAAGACTAACAGATGTATTGGAGCATAAGCTTTCGTGGGTGAATGCCCACTTCGTCAGACGCATGATATGAAGTAAGAGATCCAACTGGGACTAGAGGCCCTGAGGTCTCTCAGGCGCTCCCCAACCCCTCTCTGATGCGTCCGTCACCAGCAAAAGGGATGGCTGGGGCCTGGCCACATCACTTGTGGATCGAGCCACCATAGGAGAGACTCGAGAACCAGCCAGGGGAGAGTGACAATCTTGTCTAGACAGTCCCGAATTGGTTGGTACACCGAGGCTAGCCACGCCTGAAGAGGCCGAAGTCTCAGTCTGGCGTGCTGTACTACAAAGGTACAAGTGGCCATGTGGCCAAATTGCTTTAGGCAATTCCTTGCTGAGGTGGTAGGGAACTGCCTGAGACCTAGTATGTCATCGCACAGGGTCTGGAAACGTGACTCTGGGAGGCACACCCTTGCCTATGTTGAGTCCAACACTGCCCCATGAACTCTATCTGCTGAACGGGGATAGGGTTGACTTCTGTACATTCAATAAAAGGCCCAGGTTGCTCTTATGAGGCTCACATGCGCCTCCACTTGTGCTTTGGAGCGACCTTTGATCAGCCAGTCGTCGAGGTATGGGAACACCTGCACCTGGCACTTGCATAAGAACGCAGCTATGACTGTGATGCGCTTGGTAAACACTCAAGGTGCCACTGACAGACCAAAAGGAAGGACTGTGAACTGATCGTGACTGTGATTCACCATGAACCTGAGGTACCTTCTATGGGACGGTGTTATTGAAATATGAAAATAAACTTCCTTCAAGTCGAGGGCAGCATACCAGTCCCCCGGATCCCGGGAAGGGATAATGGAGGCCAGAGAGACCATACGGAACTTCAACTTCTTTATGAACTTGTTGAGGTATAGCAGGTCCAGGATGGGCCTGAAGCCATCTTTGGCTTTCAGTATTAGGAAATACTGGGGGAAACAAAAAGAAAAAATCCCTGCCCTTCAGCTCCTGAGGTACCTCTTCCACCACCCCCACAGTTAGGAGCATGTGCATCTCCTGCATGAGAAGTCTTTTGTGAGAGGGGTCCCTGAAGAGGGACGGAGAAGGGGGGTTGCAGGGAAGGAGGATCCCCTTTCTACCATGCAGAGCACCCAGCGATCTGATGTAATTCGGGCCCATGCAGGGTAGAAATGGGATAGGATGGATGAATCCAGAGTTTGGACTGGTATGTCGCCCCTGGGCACACCTTCAAAAGTTCTGCTTTTTGCCTGAGGACTGTTTCGCCTGCCCAGAGCCAACGAAGGGGGAGGCCTCCTTCTATTATTTCTGCTATGCCTCCTAGAAAAGTCCTGCCTGTTCTGCGGGTGATAGAATCGAGACAGGGATTGTGGCTTTAAGTGCCTGTGCGATGTAGCCAAAGCGTGCAGGCCAAGGGACTTGAGGGGGGCTCTTGAGTCCTTGAGACTATGAAGCCTCAAGTCTGTCTTCTCCGAGAAGGGGGTCGAGCCCTCAAATGGGAGGTCCTGGATGGTATGTTGGACCTCATATGGGAGCCCTGAAGCCTGCAACCAGGAGTCCCTCCTCATGGCCACCCCCAATCAGCCACATTCAGGAGCAACGCCCTGGCCACCAGCTTGCCCTCCTCTACCAATGAGAAGAACTCTACCCTAGAGTCTTCTGGCAGAAGCTCTATAAATTTTGCCATAGCCCTGCAGGAGTTAAAATTATATCTGCTTAGGACTACCTGGTGATTTGAGATTTGGAGCTGGAGACCCCCGGTGGAGTAAATTTTCCTCTCAAAGAGGTCCAGCTTCTTTGCCTCCCGTTTTTTTGGGGATGGGCCCTGATGTGGCGGCAAATAAGCGGGAGCGCCAGGGACTACAGCTAGGGAGTCCAGCAGGGGGTGGGCGTAAAAATGTTCAAACCCCTTAAAGGGAATGAAACACTTCCGTTTGGTCTTCTTTGCCGTCAGTGGTAAGGAGGCGGGGGTCTGCCACAGCATCTTAGTGGTCTCTTGAATAGTCTTTATGAGTGGCAGGGCAATCCGAGAGGGACCAGAGGGGGCTAAGATATCCACCATAGGATCCGATGTCTTGGCGACCTCCTCAACCTGGATCCCCAGGTTCTGGGCCACTCTGCTCAGTAGCTGCTGGAGTACCCTATTATCATAGAAGTTCCCGCCACCGCCTCTTCTGGTGAGAACGAGGACGAGGCCCTAGCTTGGACTGGCTCTTGCTCTCTGCCCTCAGCACCAAGGGGGTCACATGGTGCCGGGTCTTCCAGCACTGTGACTGATGCAGCGTGAGGCGGCTGGTCCTGCACCGAGGGAGGTGTGGGAGGCACGCAAGATACTGAGGCCACCAACGCAGACCTCCTGGAATAGGACCCTGGCTTTGGTGGAATACACAGGGGGTCCAGAAAGGCGACTGGGTCGGAGCCTGCCTTTGCCCAGGCCACAGTGCCTGGTGGAATTGCTGCGTTTCCTTGTCTGACGTCAAGTGTCTACATGATCCGTGTGGGCTTCGCTTAGATCTGCAGGACTCCACCTCTGACTCAGAGGACTCACTGAAGGAGGACCACGGGAGAGTAGTGCCCACTGGTGCTGGGGAGCAGTGCCGGGAACTTGAGGACCAATGCAGCTCCTCTACCTGTCCACTAGCAGAAAGAACCGGTGCTGAGGGAATGGCGATCGGCACGGTACCATGGCTGGCTTGCCCCGGGATGGCACCAAAGGTCTCACGGGTGCCGCTGAAGCGAAGCTCGGTGCCCTGTCTCGCCTAGGTGAAGAAGGTAGTGAGCTCTCTGGCCACCTCAAAAGTGTCTGGCATGGATGGTAACTCCAGCGCTTGCTCACGACCTTCCCGGAGAGGGGAGTCTCGGGGGCCCAGATTCGACTGGTCCTTTTGTGAAACAGGAGTCAACGGAGCCTGACTAGGTGGTGCCGCACTTACGTGACCCAACGCGGGTCTCACTGCGCCAGCTTCCTTCCGTGCCAGTCTGGGCGTGGACGAATGCCCTCTGTCAGGTCTCTTCTTTTTGTGGGGTACCGGAGACTGGGAACGGTGCCGCCCACTACCCTGCACAGAGAATTCTGTCGGTGCCAAGGGTCTCTGAGTCCTTCCTCAGTGTCGAAACCTTTTGCGATGAATGGGCACTACGCACCGATGCCAAGGTGCTCGGCGGCGTCTTGGCTGACCTTGGGTCCAAGTGGGGATGGCAGCCTCCATAAGGAGAATCTTCAGTCACTGATCCCTCTCCTTTTGGGTTCTGGGGCGAAATCCCCTGCAGATTTTGCAACATTCCTTTTGGGACTTTATCCCCCAGGCACTTTAGGCAAGAAGTCTGGGGATCACTCCTGAGCATAGGTTTGCCACACGCTGCGCAGGGTTTAAACCCCGGGGACTGAGGCATGCCCCAGTACGGGGGGAGGGGGAGAGAAGATGCGGGGGGTACCCCCAAACAATATCTTATAGAAAACTATACACTAACTACTAACTATTATCTAACTATTTACAGGAAAAGTCTGAAGACTGGAAAGAAAGAGATGCTTGCCGAAGCAAGAGAGAACGAGCGTTCCAGCTAACCATCACACGCGATAAGAAGGAACTGAGGTGGCAGCAGGTCAGCAGGGCCCTATATTTGGCACCATGGAGGCACGACTCCAGGGGGCTCCTGAACTGACCCGATGGGTACTGTTAGGGGAAAAACCTTCCGGTTGCCGTGCACGCACCACGCGCACACTTAATTGGAATTGACATACACAATCACTTGAAAAAGAACTACTTTTTCACCCCCAGAAAGGGTCTCTCCAGGTCAAGGGGAAGACATATTAGTGAGGCAGCGTGGCGAAGTTTTCGGCACTATTGCTTGTGCTGTTTGGTGGATAGCTACTGACAGTTATATTCTGTTAATCTGGGATTTTCCACAAATGCTAAAAATAATTATGTATTTAATTAAAAAGGAAAAAGAATCCTGGTAAAATGTACCATCTGCAAGGACAAAAAAAATGATGGGTGCAGGAAACCATGGAAGTAGCTGTGATATTCTTTTCAGTGCTACCCTATTGATCCCATGTTCAATGTGTACAAAAACAATACTGAGCATCTGTGACTATGTGGTACATTTTTCTATGGATGAAAATGTATATTTTCCTTTTGCCAATATTTTAATTTCCACAGAAAATTCTGTCTAAACCCTTTGCCCATGCAGTTAAATGCCCATGTAAACCCTTTTAAGTTATTACTCTGAAAATTTTTGCAAGCAGACACAATAGTTCACTGTGGTAGAGTTAGCAGTAACAAAGATATTGCAGATATAATCTTCCATCGGTTAAGTTGTTGAGCAACTAATAAACAATATCCTGTAAGAACTGTTTTGCAGTTTACACTATTTTGAGCTGAAGTTAACTATAGACAATAGGTAAAATCCTTCTTTTCTTTTTGAGAACTAGCCTCAGCAAGAACAACAAAGTGAAGAATGTTGATGAATTCAAATAGATTAAGCAATTAGGGCATCTTTTAGTTAAAAAATAACAGGATAGATCACATTAAAAAAAATTTAGTTCTAAACTTAGATAAAAGTGTCTATTATGAAGAATACCGCTGCAGTTCTCTAAAATTATTGCTTCCAGATGTTTAATAATAGAAGTGTGAAATTTTGTGCTTCTTTCTAATTTAAAAGACATTTTGACACCCATTCACACTCAAGTAATTAATAACATCCCCTCAGTTTTTTCATGAGGTGTGTACAGAAGTTGTTAAGAGGAAAAGCAACTAAGCCATTTTAAAGCTTTTGGCAACTTTTTATGGAACACTGTTACATTAAAAAACAACAACTATAACATACAAAAATTTAATAGCTTCTTTCTGACCTTCTTGAGCAGTTGGCACCATCCAGGTTGTGGTAGCAGTGGCCTTTTTAACACTTTCCATCTCTGTTTCATCAGTGATGACTTCCAGGGCACCAAACTCATTCACTCTGAACTGATAAAACAAAACAAAAAAATGGGGTGAAATTCTGAAAAAAATTGACTGACGCTCGCTTAAGGATTGCTCTTCTATCCTTTTAGTTTCTTATAATGGTGCCCTTCATTGTATTATCTGAGTGTTCAGTGATACTGCTAATCCCCTAGCAACAGGGAAAGTGTATTTATTATTTCTCTAAAACACAATGCACATGGTGTTATAGAAAAATGTTTAAATTAACTTTTATATATTTATATACTCTCACACACCATTTACAAATACATACAGAATGGTATGTATCCTAAACAAAACAAAAAAATCAATAGCAAAAATCTCAAGGATAATTAACTTATTCTGCTTTTTTGGATCTCCCTTCACTGGCAGTAAACCAATGCTCTACCACCAAGCATTTTTGTCAAAGGTCTGAAAGTGATCAAGAAAATACAAGTATTTCACAGAATATTGTAATTTCAGCACCAACCAAAAGCTGAGTGTTTCTCCAATGCAAATTGCATGTAAGCAAACACCCCAGAGCAGTTTATGAACTGTCTAATTACCTACTAAATGTAATATAACCATCAGCCAGGAAAAAGGCTTAGCAATATCCCACATACTGTGCTTATACTAGATCACTGTGATTTATGTCCATCCTGCCTCCAGTAACAAAGCATCCTCCAAATGCCGTAACAACTGCAGTGCTAGCGGATAAAACTAATGTTCAGCTTTCCAGTTAATAAATAAGTCAGTAGGTCCAATGGGTTGCACAGGTGTAACTAAGAGTAGAATGATCTTCTATTTTAGCTGAAAGGATGCAAGTCACCTAGAGTTCAATCACACCTTATAGGTTCCACGGAGGGATCTCCAGGACGAACTATGCCTCAGAATCCCCTCACAAAGCATACTTCCATCTACCCACCCATCCATCTTTGCCATCCTGGCCTGATCTACTCCTCACATTCTTTAGTGTATTTTTGTGCCTCAGGAGACTCCAGAACAGAGTATTCAGCTCCTTGTACTGAGGCACTGCGCAGAAATACAAGTAGTAAGCTCCTAGTGTCCTGTCCTCCCTTGTGCACTTCTAGAGCAGCCAGCCACAAACATGATTGTTTACTTCGTATTAACATCACTAGGTTTCATCAGCACAGTCCTGCTAACCCCAAACACTCAAAAATCATGAGTCAAGTCCCCAAAAAATCATGAGATTTTAAGAAATAATAAATCCTGGGTTCTTTTTATTTGCCTTCTGATTTTTGAGCCTTTAGGGTTTGTGCTTTCAAGCTTTCCTCTGCAACCATGAGGGCTATAAACTAATTTTTTTTTTTAAGATGACAAGAGATTCTCACATAATCACATGACTCCACAAGCTCAGACTTTAAGAAAAATATCATGTGTCTCACAATAGAATTGTGAGAGCGATAGAATTGTGAGAGCAGGCAACACTGCCAATGTTTATATTCAGACATGAAAAAAAACAGACTAGTAGATCTGTCTTACCATTCACATACTAGCCTTTCTTCCCCAGAGAGGCAACAAATGCTGAAAGGCGATGAGCACAGCTAATAAAGTTATCTGAATACAACATCAAAGTATGTGTGACGAACTGGGACTGTTCTTAATGTGGTCTTTGAATGCTGAGTGGGGAGTGTTGGCCTGGGAAGACAGGGGAGTGTGACTAGGATGGTCTGCATTGGGGGATGGGAGACTGGCCGTGAGGGAGAATACCTGAGCATGTAACGTGAGAACCCAGGAAGGGGTTAGAGGCCAGGTGACACCTTTGCCCGGGAAACTAAACAAAGGCTGTGGGAGGGGACGCGAGAGAAGGAGTTGCAGGAGCTGGCTGGGAGAATGGCTGGGAGGCAGATGGGGCTCTGACCTCCCAAGGGGGCTGTGGTGCCCTGGGACCCCAAGATGCACCTAATTGGGGGGGGTCCTGTTGTCTGTGCCTGCAAGACCTGTCTTGGACTGTATTCCTGTCGTCTAAATAAATCTTCTGCTTTACTGGCTGGCTGAGAGTCATGGTGGATCGCAGGAAGCCGGGGGTGCAGGGCCTTGTATCCCCCCAAACTCCGTGACAACTGGTGGGAGAGGTGGGATCTACTGTACCCCGTGGACGGCGCTTCCTGCAGTAAGTGACTGGGGAGCAGTAAAACGAAGGGTGATTGACGGGGACCAGGCGTGCTGAAGAGTCAGAGAGAGACAGTTTCAGGGGGCGATTCACCCCTGGGAGTGTGTGACCAGCGAGAAGGACTTTTGCAGTAACAGGGTCCCCCGGGGGATCGCAAGGGAGGTGGTGACCTCGAGAAGGGTTGGCACACTAGGGGTCTCCCTGGAAACTGTGGGGAGCGGTGAGCACCCAGGCCTGTGAGTGGCCAGCAGGAAGATGTATGCCAAGCGGCTTAAGAGCGACCTGGTGGAGCTGTGCAAGCAGAGGGGGCTGCGCAGTGGGAAGCTCACCAAAGAACAGCTCATTGCCCAGCTGGAGGAGGGAGATCGCTGGAATGAACTGATCCCTATCTCTGAGGGAAGCAGCCTGGCAAATGCAGCGCAGGCACCAGTGTCTGTCCTAGTTGGGAGTGGTCAGCTGGTTGCTGAGGGCTTCCCGAGACCCCTCCTTCCTATGCCTAGGGGAAGGGTGGGGAGGATCCCAGCAAATACCGAGGGCACCGTGACCTCCCCGGCCAGCAGGGGATCCTCCCGGCGAAGCTCGCCAGCCAGCAGGGGATCCTCCCAGCGACGCTCGTCATCCGTGGAGTGGAAACGGCTGGAATGGGAGAAAGAGCTAAAACTGAGAGAGCTGGCAGATCATGAACAACAGAGACAGCATGAACGGGAGGAGAAAGAGAAACAGAGGCGGCATGAAGAGAGACCGAGGCATCATGAACTGGAGCTGGCGAGGCTGAGGGGCAGCGAGCCCCCGGCTGCGGTGAGTGAGGGGGGACCCAGGACTGCACGGAGCTTTGATAAGTGCATCCTGGCCCCACATAAGGAGGGGGAGGACATGGATGACTTCCTGGATGCCTTTGAGATGGCATGCGAGCTGCACCAGGTTGATCCTGCGGACAGACTCCGGGTTCTCACCCCCTTACTGGACTCCAAAGCCGTGGCATTGTACCGCCAACTGGAAGGGGCGGAGAAAGGGGACTACGAACTATTCAAAAAGGCCCTGCTACATGAGTTTGGGCTGACTCCTGAGATGTACCAGGAAAGGTTCCGGAGTCAGGATAAAACCCCTGAGATCTCATATCTGCAACTAGTTGTCCACATGGAGGGATACGCCAGCAAGTGGGCAGATGGGGCCCAGACGAAGGAGGACCTGGTTAAACTGCTGGTACTGGAGCAACTGTATGAGCGGTGCCCATCCGACCTGAGGCTGTGGTTGAGGGACAAAAAGCCAGAGAACCCGCGACACGCAGGGCGGCTGGCCGATGAGTTTGTGAAGAGCCGGTCAGGGGGAAGCAGGGAGGAGTCCCAAAGGAACAGGCGCGGCGCGATGCAGAGAGAGTGTCATCCTGGGACCTCCCAAAGGGGGAATATGGAGAACCCCCTCCCAAGGGGAACATCCGGCGTCAGGGACAACTGACCAGTTCGAGGGGACCAACGGGACATGAGCTGCAATTACTGCGGCCGAAGAGGCCACATTCGGGCCCAGTGCCCCAAGCTCAAGGACAGACTGAGCAGACGGAACCCACACCGGGTTAACTTGGTAGAGGCCCAGACGGACAAGGGGCAGGCTTCCCGGGCAAGGGGGGCTGGCAGCTTATCAACTGCTCAAGAGAGAGAAGGGCCCCAGGCCAGCTTCTCTGGGGGGCCAGATGCTCCGGACTCAAAGTTCTCCGTTTACAGGGTGGGCACGGGGCTGTCCCTGCGGAGCGAGTGCCTTGTTCCCCTGGAGGTGGATGGGAGGAAAGTCTATGGATACTGGGACACGGGTGCTGAGGTGACACTAGTCCGGCCCGAGGTGGTAGCTCCAGATCAGGTGATACCCAACACCTTCCTGACCCTGACGGGGGTGGGCGGAACCCCATTCAAGGTGCCCGTGGCAAGGGTACACCTGAAATGGGGGGCCAAGGAGGGTCCCAAGGACCTGGGAGTGCACCACCATTTGCCCACTGAGGTGTTGATGGGGGCGGACCTGGAGGACTGGCCAAGCAACCCCCAGGGTGCCCTGGTTGTGACCCATAGTCAGAGCCGGCGAGGGGCACTGCGCCCTGACTTTGGTGAGGGTGCCTTGGCCGAGGCGCAGGCTCCTAACCTGGTGGGGAGGGAACGCCCAGGGACACGGCTCAGGGAGGCTGCGGCTTCCAACCCAGCCGGCGACAGAGAGCAGGTGGCCATCCCTGGCCTGGAACTCAGCAGCTGGGACGAGTTGCAGAAAGATCCCTCCTTGCGGAAGATAAGGGACCTGGCTGATCTCAGTGCGGTACAGACCATGGGGAGAAGTTGCCGGAAAAGGTTCCTGTGGGAGAAGGGGTTCCTGTACTGAGAATGGGCTTCCCCAGGGGAAATGGAGTCAGGGGGGATCAGGAGGCAGCTGGTGGTACCCCAGAAGTATCGCCACCAGCTGCTGTGCCGGGCCCATGACATCCCCCTCTCAGGGCACCAGGGAACCTGGCGTACCCAGCAGAGGCTGCTACAAAACTTTTACTGGCCTGGGGTCTTTATTACTGTCCGACAGTACTGCCGATCCTGTGACCCCTGTCAGAGGGGGAGGAAGGCCCAGGACAAGGGGAAAATGGCTTTAGGACCCTTGCCCAGCATAGAGGAACCTTTCCAGAGGGTGGCCAAGGTCAAAAGGGGGGCTCTGAACCAAGAGAGCCCGAATCACTGACCTCCAGACTGGAACGCTGGGAGAAGACCCCAGCCCAGTTTGAACCCCAGGGGTATTGGGGTGGGAAAAGGGCACGGGCCGCATAAACCTTCCCACAGGCGAACTACGAGTGCCATTGAGCACACCCGACCTAAAGGGGGGCGTGAAACTGGAAGGGCCTGGTGTAATTCTCACCAAGTAATGGGAGGGA